ATATATATATATATATATATAATGAAATCTACTGAAATAACAAAGAAATATACTGAATAACTCAGAACAGTATGTTTAGAGCTCTTTGTTTTGAGGGATATGTTTCTCTAATCTATGTTTGTATCCTTCACAGTGTCCATGTGCAGCAGCGTGAGCCCGTACCATGAGGTGATGCGCATGGAGAGACGTCTGCGGTCGGCCTCTGAGGGTGCAGGAGGACCCAGACTTCACCTAAACCTCAGGGATCCTCACTGCATGGAGGGCAACACTTTATCCAAGCAGAGAACCAGTTCCTCATCTTCCAAACTGGGCAGCCTGGTAAATATAATGCCATTCCACTGCTCACATTTTCTAAAATCAGTCATAGATGAACTGGTCTATTTGATTTAAATGCATGACTGTCTTGTAAAACCATTGATGTAGACTCTCAATGTGTCTTTCCGAGGGATTAAATTCCCACCCAGCGATATAATCGCAGTGCTTAATTAAACAGACAAATCCTCTCACACCATTTTACCCAGCAGGTCAGCAGGGCCAGTATCCATGGGTCACTTTCCCTCTGTAGAAGGCATCTGTAGAAGATTCCAGTCCAAATGTTGTTTTGCGAAATTTAATAACAATTTTAGTCATTATTTGCTCATCCTCATGTCACTCCAAACCTGTATGACTTTCTATTTCTGTGGAACACAAGCCAGAGATATTATGGAGAAAAAGTATAAATATAAAAACTAATTTGAAATATGAATAAAAGTGTCTAAAGACACTTAAATGTAAGTTTCTAAATTATAATACAATAACAGTGACACAAACAAAATATTTTTGATTCATGTACTGGTTGCTTGTTTTGATGCAATTACAGTGAAAGGGGACTGATGCTTTCAAGTTTAAAAAAGACTCAAAAGGATATGAACACAAATAACTATTGTAAGACTTCTTGTAATATATTGTATATATACACCTTTACTTGAAAGGTCCAGGTTCTGGTGAGTCAGTACTGTGGTAAAACTTAGCCCTGAAGAAAAAAGTGACGTGACGTGGCCAAGTATGGTGACCCATACTCGGAATTAGTGCTCTGCATTTATCCCATCCAAAGTGCACACACACAGCAGTGAACACACACACACCGTGAACACACACCCGGAGCAGTGGGCAGCCATTTTTTGCTGCGGCGCACGGGGAGCAGTTGGGGGTTCGGTGCCTTGCTCAAAGGCACCTCAGTCGTGGTATTGAAGGTGGGAGAGAGCGCTGTACATTCACTCCCCACACCTACAATCCCTGCCGGTATGAGACTCGAACCCGCAACCTTTGGGTTACGAGTCTGACTCTCTAACGAGTCTGACTCTCTAACCATTAGGCCACGACTTTCCGTCCGAAAAAGGACGATCGAATCAACTCTGAAATGTAATTGAAAAGTCCAAAGCAGGTGAAAGATATAAGAATATTTCCAAGTCATTGAATATGCCGTGGAGTGCAGTTAAATCAATAATTACGAAATGGAAAAGTGTGGCACTGCTGTGAATCTGCCTAGAGCACACTGTCCTGAGCTACTGTGCGAGAAGCAGTCTTTTGTGATGCTTCATTGTAACCTAATCACTGGGTCTCATGGATTCTCATTCCTCATTCACAAGTTGTTTCATTAGAAAAGCTGTGATTGTGAAATATCTAGTTGACAACATAAAACAGCCTTTTTGTACTGCAAGTATTTTTTTAAAGCCACCCTCTGTTTATTAAAAGCAGACTCCAGAAAAATTTTGTCCTTTAATCTTTTCACAGACCTCACAATAAACCTGTGGATTATGGGTAATAACAAGAGCACTGTTCACAGCAGGCCATTTGAAGTCCAACAGTGATTTACCAGTGCTGAAAATATTAACTAGTCAACCTCATAAGTAGTTATTAGATGTGTAACAGGATAGTCAACCATACTAACCCATCCCTATTCACTAGTAGCTTGCTTCTTGAAAATGTACACTGATTTGAAAACAGCTGAACTACTGTCACTACTGTGATCTACTAATAAATGTACACTATTACTCAAATATTTGGGGTTGGTAAGATTTTGTAATGGCTTTGTCAAGTCTCTTATGCACACCAAAACTGCATTACAATATTAAAAAAAGAACAGTTATTTTAAATACCTTAAAGTGCAATTTATTCCTGTGATGGCAAAGGACCTCAGCGTCACATGATCTTTCAGAAATCATTCTAATATATTAATTTGGTGATGAAGAAATGTTCCTTATATTATCAAAAGAGTTGTGCTGCTTAATATTTTGTGGAAACCGTAATACAGGATTCTTTGATGAATAGAAAGTTCAAAAGAACAGCATTTATTTGAAATATAATTCTTTTGTAACATTATAAATGAATGTCACTTTTGTATCATTTAATGCGTTCTTGCTGAATAAAACTAATTTCCTTCAAGAAAAAAAAAACTTTTGAATGGTTAAATAAAGTTATCGGTGACTATTTTTAGCTTGTGCCATTCATTGGTGATAGATAAAGAATTCAGCTTGAGTGAGATTTTAGACAAAACCCTTACAGGAAAACATTCTTTCAATTAGTAAGGAAAAACAATGGGTCATACTTTTGGCTAGTTCCTACAAAGTTATAAAGGCTTTGTTTTGTTTCTCAATAATGTAGCCTGCACCTGCACAGCTTGAGGCCAGTGTAATTGCTCTTGTTTTCCAGTGTAGCAGAGGAAAACGCCACTTCCTGTGTTATTGTTCTTTAATGCTTGCTAAAGTGCCACTGCTAATTTGTCATCAAGTCATGTGCCATGCAAAATTTGTGAGTGATGGTTACCTTTACTCTGGCTGGGCTGACCTGGCCTTTCCATTTACATTATCCTGCTTGGCAGTTGTTCTTGGATGAGGCTACATCCTGAAGGCAGCGTGTCTGATCAGGTTTGTCAACAGAAATCGGAAATCTTAGGAAACGTGTTGTATGTTTTGGGCGAATTTGAGGATCCAGATTCTTGTATCCTAAGCTGTGCCAGATAAAGATAAATGGATATGTGAGCCTACGTTTTAATTGACGGATGAAACGGATTTGTTGAAGGAAAATCCTCTTCTCCGGTGCCATCAAGTTCAGAGAAAGGGCAGCATTTTGCGTTGTGCAAGCTGCACGGAACAATGCACATTGTTATCTGTGATGTCCGATTTGCGAATGAATGAGTCGGCTCTTAATGAATCAGTCTCAAACATGTCCCAAACTCACAAGTTGTTTGTATGAATTGGTCTAATAACTGACTCGCTCACTGAAGCGTGAGGCATTTTCAAAATGAACTTAAGCATGAATAACAATGATATTTATTTATTTAAAAGAAAATCATTTATTTTCTGAATGCTCCATTTTGAAAGCCAGTTGCTACCTTCTCATTTTTAGTTTAAGCCCTCTTAAAAAAAGAAAAAATTTTTGTGTGCGTGTTCTGTTTTAAAGTCTTTTTTGTAGATTTTTCTAAGCTGACGCTGTAATCACCAAAGAATGTAAATGCTCATTAACATACTTTTTACTGGGCTGACTCGCATAACTTTTTATGTAAACACAGCCAGGCAGACAGGCAGGAAAAGGGAAGTATTCCATTGTCACAGTGGGAAATTGTGGTTATGCCCACTGCTCTCAAGGGAAGCATGCCAGTTATTGCTCTCTGTGTTCTTCAAACATGAACATTTGAGGAACTACAGTAGTTTCCCATTTCTGTAATCTTTGGCCAACACACTTGTAAATCACATAAGTGTTGTTCGGTAATTTGGCTTTGCCTTTTGCAGCTTCATTTGCATCAAGATGGTTCTTGTTTGATACAGCCTAATTGTTTTTAGCTTGCAATCAACCTTTATTTTGTAGAGCAGGAGACTTTGGTCTTGCTGATGAATGAAACATTTGGCAGCAGCCAGTGCTGGTTTGCTGAATGTGCCTGAAGGGCCTGAGTTTCACTTAAGAAAAAGCTGCCTTATTGAATCAGGCCTTATTTTGCTCAATACGTTGTGGCCTAGACTTGAAATTCGATGACATTTGCTTAATTGAGGTTGTCTCTGCAATGGTATTGATATAACCCCAATGACCGGCACCAACTAAAAATAATCACTACTGACTTAAAGGGTCAGTTCACCCAAAAATTTAAATTCTGTGATTATTTACTCAACCTCATGTTGTTTTAAACCTGTAAGACCTTCTTTCCTCTTCGTAAAACGAATTAAGAGATTTTTGATGAAATCTAAGAGCTTTCTGACCCTCCATAGACAGCAACATAACTACCACGATCAAGGCCCAAATGTAGTAAGGACATTGTTAAAATAGTCCATGTGACATCAGTGGTTCAGCCTTTTTTTATGAAGCTACAAAAATACTTTTTGTCCGCAAAGAAAACAAAAATAACTTCTTTATTTAAAGGTGTCCTATTATGCTTTTTCACTTTTTTAATTTTAGTCAGTGTGTAGTGTGTATGTTTGGGCATAAAAAAGATCTAGAAAGTTACAAATCTCAAAGTCCACTCCAAAGGGAGATAGCTTAAAATTTTTGGCATGTCTAGAACAATTCTTACAAGTACAACACCACGTAGCTGGGTGCCGCGGACAGACACCGAACGGCGCCGCCGGTGTGCCTACACTCATAGAAAATAATGTATTTGAATTTTAAACAGACGCCGAACGGCGCCGCCGGTGTGCCTACACTCATAGAAAATAATGTATTTGAATTTTAAAGACGTGGCGTGACGTTGCGCTTCTTGTCCTGTGCGCGACTGTGCGTTTTTCACCTCCGTGCCCAAACGTCTTTGTTTGGGCTTCCGAAAGCGGATGATGTCAGGAAACAGTGGTTGCAATTTATTTTTTAACTCTGTCCCTGAGCATTATAACCCCAATTTGCTTTTGTGGGCTGCACATTTTACTGAGGACAGCTTCCACAACATGAGGGAGTAAAGTGCCTGCCGGATTCGCCCAAAAAGCTTTTGTTGAAAGATGGAGCAAGGGGCGTGGCAGTACTGAAACACCATCTAAGCTGTTCGCCAGTCACAACGCACTGGGACAGCTAACCAAGAGAGCATGTTCTAGTACACTCCCAAAACAAAATCAAGACTTTGTAAAAGAGCATAATAGGACCCCTTTAACAAGTTCTTCTCTTCCGTGTTAGTCTTCGACACTCGTTCTTGACGGTACCATGACCGTTTGAATCATGTCTCATTTTTTGCCATTTCTCCCTACAGTTACTTCAGCATCTCAATACTGTACCAAAAGGCACGTGTTCTTAACACGTCTTGCAATGGATCTTAAGTGCGGGCGCCCTGAGTTCAGTTCAGGTCATTTCCTAATCCCTGGGATATATTTGTGCAAATGATTTCTGACTCCTCATAAGAATTTCTGGTAGCAGCACAGATTTCTGGTTCTGAATGTGTCTGAGGATGTATCCTTGCCTAACCTGCTAATGTGAAACCTGTTAGATTGCCTCCTCAAATAGTGTTTCAGTGTTTATTTTCTCACAGGGATATTTTTTAAAAGTGATTTCTGAAATGCGAAGGGAAGAAAAGTTGTTTACATTGCCATTGAACTGTTCTGGCCTTTTTGTCAAGTGCCGCAGGATATTTCAGTTAATAAGTAAAGCATGTTTTCTCCTGACACTGACATGAAAAGATCAGAAAAATCTGAACATCGGGAGATGGAGAGTGAGTCACACCAAATGTCAGCTCTCTGTCACCTCCTCAATCCCTCAGAAATAAACGCTTGAGGAAAAAAAAGACTCTTTTCATCACCATCATCACTTTCTGTTTTCTTTCACGCAGACATTTTTATCGAGCACTGGTAGTTTTTGTCCTTCGTGCGTCTGTTGTCAATATCTGATTAGCGACCTTGTTGATTGAGATGGTTTGCATGCATATGCACATAAACAACCTGTGTTCGGCCGTTTATGTTCACAAGGACATTTATGAACCATGACACGGTTCTTCTTTAATATATCTAAATAAGCTGTCTGAATAGGTCACTGAATAAGGCCATTCACTTCATCAATATTACATTCTTACAGAGATTACAACAGTTAGTGATGCATTATGTTCATTTTGTCATTTGGCATCGTAATATTTCACAGAGGTAAAGGCCAGGCTGTTTCATTTCCTGAGAGTCTTAATTAGGGGCCCAGCGACCCTTTAATTTCTAGCAAAGTCAAAGTTAAGGCACTTTTCTGTTCTGATGCACTATCCACTACTTTGCTCTGTCCTGCTTAATTAGCCACAGAGCTGCGCTTTTCCACGTTAATAGGATATAATAGCTGTTCTTTTGCTTTTTTGCCTTTTACATGCACTTTTAAATAAGATTAGCTTGAAATACTCCATATAGAGCTTTGCTGAGTCCGGCTTGTGTGTTATAATAAACAACCCTGTTGTAGTGTTATTTTTCTTACCTTTAGCTTTCAATCCCAAGATGTTTTTTTCATGCTGGGCACAAGATGGCAGTGTGACACTTTGAAAAGCATGACCCAGAAGCCCATTTTGGTTTGAGCGATATACAGGTTTTCTGCTTCTTTGAGTGCACAGTGGAATTTTTTTGCGCTGATGTGTGGAAAGGTTGCTGTAGAGGCGTCTTTAAATCAAATTAAATCCTCTTTTGTCATCTTGCTTTAACAAAGAGTCTGTGACACGCAGCTGGAGGTTTGAGCTTAATTTAAGAAAGTCATTAGTCACTTCTAACTGCAAAGTAGAAACATTAAATTGGATTCTAAATATGTCATAACTACTAAAATATGACTCTTATATGGATACCAGGTCTCAACAGTAAGACATTTTTTTTTCCTATTGGCCTGGTCATTCAAGGTTTGCTTGTCCTCATTTTTACCATTTTTACTGGCTTCACCACAAACAAATGGTACAGTGATAGTATGTGTATATGTGTGTGTGTGTGTGTGTTACATTAAAATATTTATATTTTTTCACCAAATTATGTACTTTAAAAATATTAACAAACAATGCATTCATATTTTAGATTAAATCTAAATTTATAAAAATATGTAATTCTTTTGCAGTAAGAACTGGAAATAATACATATTAAATGTATATTTACTATATTCTTTAATTATAAGTTCATTAATTATGTGCAACTACATAACCCCATTTGTTGGTGAATTATGGCATGTAATAAAATGGACCCAGAACCATACTCACGGAGCTCTCCTTAGTAAAAATGTTTTATTTTGGCATATTTCTTTCCTCTCTTTTCCAGGATGTTTTGAATAACCTTGGCTCATCTGAGTTGGATGAGGATGACCTGATGCTGGATCTCGACCTCTCTGATGACCAGCGACCTCGCCATGGTATGTTTTTACCAGACTCCAGTTGCTCTCTCCTTTTTGCTTCAGACTCTCAAACATATATTATGGCGTTTATCTCTCATTCATATTCATGCTGTTAAATTTCTGAATATCTTGTTATAGTAATTACACATTCTTATAATAGCTGCATCGCTTGAAGAAATTATTTTTCCCGTGGATATAAAATCCCAGCTTTAGCTGATGAAGACTTGGGCAAATCTTCTGAATTTAATACCTTGTAAAATATTACACCATAAAGTTATGCACGCATACAATGATGAATTAGTCATCTTAATTTTCCAAATGTTCTGATATTTTGGGAGGAGTTACATCAGCACATGTGACGCTACACGTTAACATGTACCACAGGCAAAGCCTCTAGACAGATAAACACTGCGAATGTCATTGCTGATATTTACTAAAGCAGTTTTTTTTTGCAAGAGAAGTAAATATTGCAGCGCCTGTGCATGAAGTCATTTTGGCATGAACTTCCTCTAGATCAGTGGTTCTCAGCTGGTTTTGCTTCAGGACCCAGATTACACATTCGACAAGCGGCGACCCAACAAAGTACAAAATTTTGTTTGTTGTACAAAAATGTCTTAAAAATATAAATAAATCCCTTATTTTAGGGAAATAAAGTTGAAGCTTATTTTCACCCAGAAGCCTTTCTTTTTCTTAATTTGCTATTACAGCCTCACGGGAGGATTCCAGTCAATCCCTTGCATCATGCCTCAACCTGCTGCCTTCACCCCTGGAGGCCTCCACCGTCCGGACCCCTGGAAGAGATCCCAAGGAGCCCCCCCTCAGGTATTTTTTCCTCACTGCAGCTTCTATTCTCAATTTCACAGATGCACTGTGAACATGAATGGTTCGACAGGGGGGATAATGTTACATGCCCACTTTAATGATTCAGTAATGGTGTTTACCTTGTTACAAACCACAAAATGATCATCCAATTGTTTCATGAACATGAACTGATTTGCAGAGCTCAACTATAAGGATTTTTTTTTCTGCTGGTCCAATCAGACTTGTAGTTCTGATTGTTACTTGCCTGCCAATATTTTCACCGGCACTACAAGGAAATGCATATTAGAAATAGATTGGTGACAACTGGTGGTGGACGAGGAGATCCCCCCTCACAATGTAGAGCGCTTTGAGTGCTTAGAAAAGCAGAAAAGCGCTATATAAATGTAATGAATTATTTGTATTATTATTATTATTTTATTTTTTTAAAGAAATTAGTACTTTTATTCAGCAAGGATGCAGTACATTCATCAAAAGTGACAGTAAAGGAATTCACAATGTTGCAAAATATATATTTCAAATAAATGCAGTTTTTTTTTTTTAAACTTTGTATTCATCAAAAAAGTATCACTGCTTCCACAAAAATATTAAGCAGCGTAATTGATTTAATCATTGATAATAAGAAATGTTTCTTGAGCACAAGACCAGCATATTAGAATGATTTCTAATTTCTTATTGAGGTCTTCCAGCCAGTTCTATCAAACCTTTACAATTAATCCAGAACACGGCAGCAAGATTAATTTTAAATGAGCCGAAAAGAACCCACGTCACACCTCTGTTTATCAATTTGCACTGGCTACGAATAGCTACTCGCATAAAATTCAAGGCATTAATGTTTGCCTACAAAACCACTGGCTCTGCACCCCTTTACCTAAATTCATTACTTCAGAGTTATGTGCCCTCTAGAAGCTTGCGTTCTGCAAGTGAACGTCGCTTTATTGTGCCATCCCAAAGAGGCACAAAATCACTTTCATGGGCTTTTACATTAACTGTTCCCTGCTGGTGGAATGACCTGCCCAAATCAATCCGAGCAGCTGAGTCCTTAGCCATCTTCAAGAATCGGCTAAAAACACATCTCTTCCATCTTTATTTGACCCTCTAACTCTAGCACTCTCTATTCTAATTCTATTCTTAAAAAACCACTAACTTCTCTATTCTTTTTGTATTCTATCTATTTGTTTTCTTTTTATTTAATATACAATTAACAAAAAGCAAAAAAAGGGGCCTCTAACATTTGCTTGCTCTATTCTTTTTCTATTCTATCTGTTTTCTTTTTATTTATTATATAATTAAAAAAAAAACTTGCTACATGTACTGCGTTAGACTAACTGAGACTTGTCATAGCACTTGCATATCATTGCTCTTTTGTTGATTTTGATTGCTTCCATTGTCCACATTTGTTAGTCGCTTTGGATAAAAGCGTCTGCTAAATGACTAAATGTAAATGATTTCTGAAGGATCATGTGACACTGAAGACTGAAATAATGGCTACTGAAAATTCAGCTTTGCCATTACAGGAATAAATTACATTTAATATTTCAAATAGAAAACAATTATTTAAAATTGTAATAACATTTCACAATATTACTGTTTTTATTGTATTTTCGATCAAATGAATGCAGTCTTGGTGGGCATATGAGAATTCTTTCAAAAAGAATTCAAAACAATTTAAAATCTTCAAAAATTAGTCAGCACTGCAGTGCAGAGATATTAAATTCATATTTGTTCTAAGTCAGCTCTTCTATGAAAATATTTCAGTGCTTACTGTTTATAGTTCCTTAGAGGGAAAGTTCAACCACAAATGAGCATTCTTTCATCCTTTACTTACTCTCCTGTTGTTTCAAACGTCAATGACTTTTTCTTTTGTGAAACAAAAAAGATGATAATTTCTAAATCGTCTTCCTATTTTTTGGTCCATACACCAAATATCATCTTTTATGTTCCACAGAAGAATGAATTTCATTCAAGTCATCTGTGCTTCAGTTTATGACATACGTTACAAATATATGCAAGGAAAAGCTATCACATGCGTATAATAACTAATTTGAATAACATTTAAAATAACATTTAATGTATAAAACTGTACATTTTGGCTGAAAGTTTGAAAAGAAATGAACATTTAGTAGCAGAATCTTTGACATGTACAAAAAAGCAGCAAGCATGCCAAATGATCCATCATCATCCATCATGTAAAAAATGATGGATGATATATTGATGGAAAGAAGTTTTTGTTTACAGAGATTTGCAGCCTTTCTGTATGTGTGGTATAAGTATATTGTGCTATTCTGAGAATTTTCATTTTGGAGCATCAGTATTCAGTTGAGGGATTGTCCTACTATGTTAAACAGAAGCACAGCTTTAGCCAGATTTGAAGCATTTTGATGAAATGAAATTGCAGAGTACCAAATAAACTACAGCGATCGCTAACTAGCATGCCAAGAAATACAGTCATGACAATGTTGATGTGAGAATAAACTAGTTTATACAGTTGTGTTCTCAGTGGAAGCGAGTCCTACTTCATCCACTGCTTTGCATCTTGTTCCCTAAACTATCAAACTTCCTCTGATGTATTGACATGGGCATTGACTGTGCCGACAGTTTGTATGATTTGATTACGTTCTCTCAAACTCTGTCTACTCTGACTGGCAGTTTCATCCTCATGCGTAATGACAGCAGAGTCATTTCAGAGCCGGATGAATCCCATGTGGACACAGAGCAAATTATATTAGCATGGAAATTAGCCTAGAAAATTGAATACATTTCCTGACCTTATAATTATTTGTACAGTTTTTAGAGCATGCCCCAAAATAGAGCGGGTTTATTTTGAAATTATTACAGAATGTACCCAAACTACTACATTTCAACTACTTGTAATAAGTACTGTATTTGTTTTCTGTATAAGTAGAAGGTTTAATGTTTAAATGCAACACTGCTGTGCCAAATATTACCTTATATTGCTGAAAGGTTATGAGAAGTACTTTCCCAAACCTACACTGTTATATGACATTTGATAGTATATTTGAGCTAGCGAATGCCTCATAAAAGCCGTGCTGCTTCTAGAAAGTGTATATTCGCCTTGTCAGCAGGTGGTGATTGAATGACCTTGTCTTGATATCTTTGACACAGTTTTGATTGAGATTTCTTACCGAGTAGCCCTGCAAGCTACCCTTTTTTTTTTTGGTTATTGCTACATTTGAGGAAGTTCTGTATTTATTTTCTAAATTTATGGCACCCCAGGACTGTTCTGTTCTCATGTTAAAGATCTCACAATTTGTGCTTGATTCTAGGCTTTTTCATCGTCAGCCGGGCTATTGCTATTCATGCTGGGCTAGCTAATTTTATTAGTAATTATTTGTTGCATGGTATGATGTATTAACAGTGCATTTAAAGGGATAGCTCACACATTTTTTTTAATTCTGTTTATTTACTTAGCCCTATGCTTAAACTATCTTGTAGTTTTTGGCACAGTTTTTTTGTTGTTGTTGTTGTTGTTGTTGTTAATAAACAACAGTTCATAGTGTTTTTAAACCAAAAGGACAAAGCTGTATGATAGCTTTGTGTAAGAAATGTACAAAAATTTTTTACTGGGAAATGTTCCCTCCACTGTGTCTCTCAAATCTCATACTACATACAGTACAGTTTAAAAGTGTAGAGTCAGTAAGACATATTTGTATTTATTTATTTTGATATATTACATTAATCAAAAGTGTAAATTTATAGATTGTCTTCACTTTTCAAAATAATGCTGTACTTTTAAAATTTCTATTCATGAAGGATCACGGTTTCCACAAATGTATTTAGCAAAAAAACTTTTTTCAAAAATTGATGATAATAATAATTGTTTCTTAAGTGTTTAATAAGTGTATCTTGACCACCATATCAGAATATTAGAATAATTTCTGAAGGATCATGTGACACTAAAGACTGGAGTAAATGTAATGGTAAATTACATTTGAAAAATATTTTACTATAGAAAACAGTTATTTTAAATTGCAATAATATTTCACAGTACTACAATATTTTTTGTTAAATAAATGCAGGGAGCATAACAGATTTCCTTTTTGAAAACGTAAAATCTTCCCAACTCCAAACTTTTTTGAACAGTAGTATATTTAGATGCATCACATTTGGGTATGACACGAATCTGAACGTGTGAATAATGACTTAAATTTCAGTCTGTTCCTTACACAAAGCTTCTGAAGAATATAGCTCACCAGTCATGGATTTTTCTTTTATTTACTGGACCTCTGCCTGCCATAATCACCGTGAACTATTGTTGTATGGAAAAAGAATGCATTCCATAAAGGCAGCATACTGCTTTGGAGCAACACGAGGATGAGTAAATAATCGCAAACTTTCATTTTAGGGTGAACTATCATTTTTGTTGCTCTTAGCATCTAATAATTCACCCAGCATTGAAAATATTGAAACTCGAAAGAAGTAAAGTAGTTGGCTTTTTCTAATGTTTGTCAAATTCATCATTCGGAAGACGGGAGAGAAACGGCTTGAAAGATGCATGGGATTGCGGTATAGTGTCATTATGTGGTGGGGAGGTGTCAGCTAGTATAGATGTCTTTAATGGACAGTGGCTGGGAGGCCTGTTTTGTGCTGTGAGTCAGCTCAGCTAGAGTTGAGGATGCACTGTTTGATGGGCTATAATCCTACACCCTGACTAAGTGACAAGATGTATTATCCCAAGGCGAAATCTGGGCTGTTGGTGTGGAAAACGCATCAGCCGTCAGCGAGACTGATGCACAGCAGCTCGTGTTATGTTTTTCTCGCTCAGCGATGCAGCGCCAGCCCATTTTACGGCTCTGAAGAGAGGCAGAAGGAAGTGTTTTGCTCTGTGAAGGGAGGCAGAAAGATGAAGCTATAGGAAGACTCTAAAAAAGAGCTCGGTCCATCTTAGCAGTGCTGCCAAAGACAGTGTAAAGGTTTATGGTTGGTTTTCTCTTATACAGCTTTCAAACAGAGAGAGTCACAGTTTAAATGAAAGGAAACTG